GCAGATAAAGCTGCCCAGGAAGGAGCCCGGGGCTCAGTATGGCCCATTACCCCATGAAGACAACACAGGGCTCGATGATACCCAGCAATGAGCCCCTGCCCCCCGGCTGGGAAATCAAGCTGGACCCCCACACCGGCTGGCCCTTCTATGTGGATCATAACAGCAGGAGCACCACCTGGAGCGACCCCCGAATGCGGGACCCCGGAAAGGTGGGAGGGGGGACACTATATGGGGAGAGGGGGGCACTGAATAGGGAGAGGGGGCACTATATGGGGAGAGGGGGCACTGAATAGGGAGGCACTATATAGGGGAGAGAGGGCACTATATATTTGAGAGGGAGGCACTATATGGGGAGGGAGAGAGGGGGCACTGAATAGGAGAGGGGCTATATGGGGAGAGGGGGCACTCTATGTTGAGAGGAGGGCACTATATATGGGGAGAGGGGGCACTATATAGAGGAGAGAGGGACGCACTATATATATTTGAGGAGGGGCACTATTTGGGGAGAGATTACTGCACTAGATAGGAGAGGGACACTATATATATTTGAGAGGGGGCACTATATGGGGAGAGAGGCACTAGATAGGGGAGAGAGGGACACTATATGGGAGAGGGGGCACTGAATGGGGAGAGGGGGTACTGAATAGAGGAGGAAGGGAGCAAAGTATGTGGAGAGGGCACTCTGGGGAGAGGGGTACTGAATGGGGGGAGAGGGGGGGTACTGCTTGGGGGAGAGGGTGTTCTAAATGGGGAGAGGAGGACACTGTGAGGGGAGAGAGGGTACTGAATGGGGAGAGGGGGACACTGTGAGGGGAGAGGGGGTACTGAATGGGGAGAGGAGAGGGGGACACTGTGGGGAGAGGGCAAAGTATGGGGAGAGGGGGACACTGAATGGGGAAAGGGCAAAGTATGGGTAGAGGGGGACACTATATGGGGAGAGGGGTACTGAATGGGGAGAGGGGGACACTGTATAAGGGTACTGTAGGGGAGACAGGGACACTGTATGGGGAGATAGAGGACACTGCAAGGGGAGAGGGGGTGCTGTATAAGAAAGGGGCATTGCATGGGCAGAAAGGGTATTGTATGGGATAAGTGGGCACTGCATTGTAAGTTGTTTTTTTATGAAGAGGGGGGGGTACTGCATGGGGAGAGGGAGTATATAGGGATAATGCTCTATATAACTTGGAGAGGTGGCACTGTGGGTCTATACCCCATATAACAATGGGGGTGTATTATAATAATTGGGGATTTATTATACCCCATATAATAATGAGTGGTACCCTGCTGGGGGGGCATGGATTCGGCTCTATAGAACAAGTAGATTGGGCACCCGGGAGAGAAAACATAGAGATGTATCTAGTCCGTTTCTAGCTATCAGTATCTGTTCATATTCATACGGACAATGTGTTCATGAATGATAATAGAATGATAGTTCGTTTTAGGTGAGACTTGCTGTAAAATGACTGCAGCAGGCCATTACTGAACACACAGGACGTGGGATGCATCAGTCAGCCAGTCTGAGATTGCAGTTATTGTTTCATTTCGGTCACAATTCAGCACTATTCTACAAAGAAATCAGGCACTAGTCACAGGAGCTAACACTCCTTGTAAGCACACTGATTGTGTGGACAAGCAATCTTCATCCACAGCCCCAGTACTTTGTCAGAATTCCTGCCCCCTACTGTCCTCTTCACATTTCATTCACCATTGTTGGAGTTTTAGCTATATTTTTATAGCCTGTGCCTGGTTTTTGTACGTATGATATGATCACGAAAGCAGGCCAGTTTGGCCCTCTGAGCAAATCCCTAAAACATTTCCAGTCCTTGTAATGTTTATTTTAAAGTGGATTATTGCACCGCTCTCTGCTTCCTACGACATGTGTAAATGTCCTGTGATTTATTTTCCTGCTGATGGGATCTCAAGTATTTTGCACCCAGCCCCCTCTGAGAGTCTGCCAATTGCAGAGAGGCCTTTACACAGAGGAATCGACAATTAATAATCTAATGAGACTTGGAATCGAGCGTATAGACGGCTTCTTAGTAATTCTATAATCCCGGAACACTCGGCGGTTTGTGGCTTTTGGACGGTGCGTTCCTGGAATAAATATCCTTCCAATGGATCGGGTGAGAGGGTCGTCTGATGTCATCGTCGGAATCTCGAGAAGAAATGGATTGTTTAGCTTTCCTGGAGTTTTTCACACAGCCACGCAGAGAGTAACGCAGAGAGTAACGCAGACAGACCTTACAAGGTGTGGACAGACGACTGTCAGACAGACTTCGCTAGACTTGCAAACAGTACAGATTGTTTAACCCATCAGGCGGTTACTGATTTGCAAACTTCACAAAGTGTTAGGAATCTCTGTTAGCGTGGCTTCTCAAAGACTTCTGAGGCCCGGGTGAGGGCTTAACAGGGTGGGCAAGGGAAGACAGTTGTCCCCAAAGCCACTGGTTTTGAGTGCTGTAGCTTCATGGCACCATTTTTGTGCTGATTAGAGAAGTGAGATGTATGTTGGGATATCTGTTGGCAGAGTACTGTGGGGGTGAGGCAGCATGCAGGAATTGTTCCAGACCTTTACTAGCCCTGCACTGTCTTTACTATCAAGCACTGTGTGGTTACTAGCAAGCACTGTGTGGTTACTAGCCAAGCACTGTTTGGTAACTAGCCCAGTACTGTGTGGCTACTAGCCCAGCACTGTGTGGTAACTAGCCCAGAACTCTGTGGTAACAAGCCCAGCATTGTGTGGTTACTAGCCCAGCACTCTGTGGTAACAAGCCCAGCACCCTGTGGTTACTAGCCCAGCATTGTATGGGTTTGTGTTTTGGCTGTTGACTCTCCATCTCAGAGCCTTCCAGGCCTATACTGGCCCATTGAGGTCATTCCCAGGAAATGGCAGAATCTGGGGCTGGTCAGCTGCTGGACAATGATGAGTATGTAGGGTGTCCCTGAGGTGTATACAAGTGGCTGTGGAGATGTGGTAGAGCTGATTGTCCTTCATGACAGCGGATTAGTGATCTGCCTCTGTGCTGCACAGGTCATACTGATGGGGAGATATATAATGTCACAAAGGACATAAAACAATGGAGATGGGGCTCACCAAATGGGTGGACATAGCGCATGACCCTAGTAGGACCGCGCACATAGAGCATGCCCCCAGTAGGACCATGCACATAGAGCATGCCCCCAGTAGGACCGCGCACATAAATCATGCCCCCAGTAGGACCGCGCACATAGAGCATGCCTCCAGGAGGACCACGCACATATGGCATGCCCCCAGTAAAACCACGCACATATGTCATGCCCCCAGTAAGACCGCGCACATATGGCATGCCCCCAGTAAGACCGCGCACATATGGCATGCTCCAGTAGGACCGCGCACATATAGCATGCCCCCGTAGGGCCAAGCACATATAGCATGCCCCCAGTAGGGCCAAGCACATATAGAGCTGTAAATGTTGTGTACACAAATACCAGACTGGCTCGCAGGCCAACTGATACCATTTCTCCCATTGGATGCCAACATCCGGGTGATGACCCACCAGTCAGGCCTGATGCTTGGACTCTGCTCTCCCAGTTGGATAGTTACATAGCTGAAAAGAGACATGCGTCCATCAAGTTCAGCCTTCCTCACATTTGGTTTTGCTGTTGATCCAAAAGAGGGCAAAAAACCCAGTCTGAAGCGCAGTGTGATAGGTGATGGCCAGTCTCACTGTGCTTTGTTGTAGGTAGGAAAAGGCTCATTTACCTCAGGGTTACCACTTTAAGGTGGCACTGTCTGTGCATATCCGGTCTCTTCCTCTATTTCTGATGCAGCACTGCGCTCACTGGCTAAGAGCTCTCAGCCGACGCTTTTCCAGTAAGTGTGACCCTGGAGAAAAAGACCGGGCACAGGGGATGCAGCTGTGTGAGTCCTGGTGGGAGCCAGGTAACTTGTCAAACTAAATTAAAATAACTTGGCTACTTACTGTGGCGGAACAAACCTCGCCACTGGCCACTGGAGGAGCCTGGTCGCCCGCCTCCTGCCGCTGGACTATGGCCTCATGTTTAACACTTTTTCCCTGCAGAAAGGCTGGTTCGTGCCTTTCTGCGGACTGTTAAAGTCATGAACACCGCTGAGCCGCCGACCTCCCTTCTCCTGCCTGCAGTCAATTATCCGAACACCGGTCCATTCGGTACTTTACTGTTTAAACCATGCTACCCCAGATAGCTATGCCATGGAGCCCAGACGTATACTGAAAGACTGTATGAAAGACTTTGGCTCCATGGCGATTGAACTGTATGTATCTGATATGAGCGCCATCCGGTAATAATGTGCGCTCAGATCTATGCTATCTGGGGATAGGTAGAATGTGTATGTTCTATGTGATAAATGTAACAGCCATGTGATTAATGGAGTTTTGTGATTAATGGAGTTTTGCCTCTGTCCTTGGAGATAATTGGATTACTTCCCAATTATCTCCAGGACAGAGAGGAGGGATTGTGATGCATTGTGGGATTGTAAGCTTGTTATTGGTCAATGTCCAATATGTTTCCCAGTCTTCCATCTGGTCCCTTAGGGGAGTGTCCACCAGGTGGGAGACCTGCATAAAAGCCGGGCAGGTAGCCCCAGTAAATCAGTTCTGCTTGACCCTCAAACGAAGTGTCGTCTTGTTCTTGGGGGGAATTGGATTGTATGCTGTTACAGTACGACTGCCAGGAGTGTAAACTGTTTGTATGGCTTTTCCTGTTCAGCTGTTTAGCAGCATTCGTGTGTTTCCTTTTCGGGAGTTTGGAGCATTCCCCTGGTTCCAGTTCGGGAGATTGGTGAATTCATGCGTTTGCAGTTCGGGGGAATGGTGATTGCAGTAGCTGTCTGTGCATCTGAAAAGGGGAATATCTCCTAAACGGTTTTTAACCTCTTCTGTGCAAAACGGTCCGTTACACTTACTGTGGGTGATGCCAGAGGGCTCCATGTACCATAACCACAACAGAGGTACATAGTAGTTCTGATGCTTGGAGTGTTATTAAGAATACTATGTGATTGCTCCCAATTGAGACTATAGTATTGTTGCAGTAGTCCAGGGATAGGCAACCTTTGGCAATCCAGATATTGTGGACTTCAACCCCTTTAATGCTCGTACACCCATAAAGCTGGCAAAGCATCATGGGAGGTGTAGTCCAAAACATCTGGAGTGCCGAAGGTTGCTTATGCCTGCAGTAGTCTTTACAATGTCTGTCCGTTCCTCCTTTAAAATAAGCCATTTCTGACAGTTATAATGTTGCACATTTGTAAATAGAATTGCATAGCATTAACATCCCCAATACAAATAGTAATTTAATTTGTGTTTAAGCAGCTTTTTATAGTTTTGTAAATTTGATATAGTTTAACTTGAGCTTAATAATAATATCTCATTTAACTCTTTAGTAAGAGGACAATTCTAAAGCACACGTCCTTTTATTTAATTTTTAAATTCATCAGCGTTTTCTAAATGCAACATTTACTTTACGTACTTCAAACCTCAATAGAGAGATTTTCATAATTCTAGCCAAACGGAATTGGAATTCTATGAATTGTCATTGGAATCCTAATTTGAATGTTAACTCTTACTAAATACCTATAACATCCTTGATGTCAACATGTTTGTGGCCCTCTTCGAGGTCGGCTGAGTCCATGGGGTTCCAGTGTTTAGATCTGGGCGGTGGTTATAGTGTTTACTTTTTTTTTCCTTTTCACTAATTGTAGTGAATTTCAAATTAGATTGCAAAACAATGACCAACTCTGCTATAGAAACAGCTTGGCAATTTTTCCTTAAATGTTGGCAATTCTCTTTCCAATAAACTACAATTCATTGTACGGTGAATTAACCCGTCAGTGACACTGAATGGTTGGAAGTCTCATGTATCCCTTAAAGCGGCAGTTTTGTGACCCAGATATTCCATGTGTAGATCCCTAGACAGGTCGCGGGTATGACTTTATTTGCGTGGTGACCTTTGTCCGTGGCAGTTGTTGAGGGAATATCACTAAGCTGGTGTAAATCTGTTTGCAGATGCGAGCTGCAGACCAGGACTCTCTGGAGCCTCAAAGCTTGTGCATTTGGCTGTCTGTGCTCTGGTCTGTCAGTCTCAGCTGTCCTCAGAGCCTGTCTGTACTTGTCATTCGCTGTCAGTTCCTCAGCTGTTGTGTGTGTTTGTGCTTTGGGTACTCAGAGTGTTAGCAGGAGTAAAGGAAGGGAACATAATGTATCTTTGATTGGAGTCTGGGATGTTCTGAGGTTCTCATAGTCTGACAGGTGTTTCCATGTTACACTGATTGATGTGACAGCTGAGCATTTACACGCCAGGCAGTTTTTATAGCGATGGATGTGACAAGGTCTGGACACAGAGGTGGGTCCTTTCTTTCTCAGGGATGGACATGTGCTTACAGAAACCAGGACTCTAAGGCTAAATGATGAAAATATCCAGCTTTTGTATGTTCTCACGGAGGCCGGGACACCGTGCCAAATGCTCACATCGCAGCAAGAGTAAGAAGGACGGCTGAACAGTGTTACCAGAAGCAAACTGTCTTCAGTAATTCACATTAGAAAATTCATTTCTCTTTATTTAATGTCCTGTTGTGCGTTTCTGGATTTATCACACGAAGTAAAGAGAAATGAATGTTTTATTGTGAATTTTTTAGGTTTGCCTCCTTCTTATAACACTGTCTAGTTCACTGGACATTCCTCTTTCTCTCTCCAGAACCATTCATCCTCTGGAATACGGTGACCTCTTCGGAATCTATAATCATAGTGATTGCTGGTGATTGAGTTATATAAGAGTTAGAAGCCATTGCCACGGACACTATCGCAATAAGTGCACAAGGGGACATTCCATTGGTTTCTATGTTACTCCAGCTTTAGAACTTTCTTCCCGTTTCCGCTCCGTGCTTGGTGACATCAGCTGAGTCCTGCCTTGTAATGCTGACCAATTCTTAAAACATCGGAGTCATAAATAGCCGACTAGAGATTATATTTAGCATTACTCAGCAAGTAGCAATGTGCTCTCACCACTGTATCCATCTCTGTGCCCCCACATACATAATGAATAGACTGAGAACCTCAGGCCAGGCTTGCTTCCCAACATTAGTTAATTAAAGAGAGAATATTATTATAAATGACTATTTAGCAGCTCAGATAGTTACAGCTCCGTGAACTCACAATTAAACTCCGCATGTTGAGTCTTGCCACTTCCAGTGAAGGGCTGCAGGGTTCCGCTGATATAACCATAGGACTTTGAAACTATAAACCTTCCTGCCAATTTCTAAATGTGTGAGTGAGGTGTGATCAGGGGTAGGGCTGTAAGGTGACTTACTAAACTTATAAAACTAAAATTGAATTTAGAAGTAGAACAATGTATCTTATTTCTACAGACTGATTTCTAAACACATTTATGTTAGTTTAAATACATTACTGTGAGTATTATTGCTGTGGGGCTCTGTTACACACTCAGACACATTACTGGGAGTATTATTGCTGTGGAGCTCTGTTATAAACTCAGACACATTACAGGGAGTATTATTGCTGTGGAGCTCTGTTATACACACAGACACATTACTGGGAGTATTATTGCTGTGGAGCTCTGTTATACACTCAGACACATTACTGGGAGTAGTATTGCTGTGGAGCTCTGTTATACACTCAGACACATTACTGGGAGTAGTATTGCTGTGGAGCTCTGTTATACACTCAGACACATTGCTGGGAGTATTAATGCTGTGGAGCTCTGTTATACACTCAGACACATTACTGGGAGTATTATTGCTGTGGAGCTCTGTTATACATTCAGACACATTACTGGGGGTATTATTACTGTGGAGCTCTGTTATGCTCTCAGACACATTACTGGGGGTATTATTACTGTGGAGCTCTGTTATACACTCAGACACATTACTGGGAGTATTATTACTGTGGAGCTCTGTTATACACTCAGACACATTACTGGGAGTATTATTGCTGCAGAGTTCTGTTATACACTCAGACACATTACTGAGAGTATTATTGCTGTGGAGCTCTGTTATACACTCGGTCACATTACTGGGAGTATTATTACTGTGGAGCTCTGTTATACACTCAGACACATTACTGGGAGTATTATTGCTGCAGAGCTTTTTATACACTCAGACACATTACTGGGAGTATTATTGCTGCAGAGCTCTGTTATACAGTCAGACACATTACTGAGAGTATTATTGCTGTGGAGCTCTGTTATACACTCAGACACATTACTGGGAGTATTATTACTGCGGAGCTCTGTTATACACTCAGACACATTACTGGGAGTATTATTACTGCGGAGCTCTGTTATACACTCAGACACATTACTGGGAGTATTATTGCTGTGGGGCTCTATTATATACTCAGACACATTACTGAGAGTATTATAGCTGTGGAGCCATGTTATACACTCAGACACACCAACAATATGGAGCTCCTAGAATTGGTCATTGGAATATAAAAGAGGGATTAGGGTAAAAAATAGGGATTGTCCCTCCTAAATAGGGAAAGTTGGGAGGTACGTAGGGAAGTTAGTGGGGGCTGATTGAAGGAGAATTTAGTGGGGCTTTGAGGAACTTGGCAAAACTTGCTATCTGGAAGATCTGCCCTAACTAAAGTTTCCTACAACTCTCAAAAGCCCAGATACGTGACTAACCACATGAACTTGGTAGCCATGGCTGCCAAAGTGCTATTGTGATGCTGGACGTGTTCTTGTGTATTTTACATGGAACTCGAGACTTGTGGCTTATATCTGGTGCCTCTTACCGAAACTATATATACTTGGTTCTAAACCCAGGAAATGTGTCAATCTCAACCTTAACTAAATGAGCTTTCTGTTCCAAATGAAGCTCTTAAGAAATGTTCATATTGAGTGTATGTACATCAATAACAAGGATTTTCTTTCTTTCTGTTTAGAAAAACCAGTCTTTGGCTAACGGACCCTCATCAGAAAGTCACAAGCCTGCTCCTCTGAGAGAAGGAAATGTGTATTATCCTCAGCTTCGTCCGGGATATATACCGATACCTGTTAACCATGAAGGACTGGAGAACAGGCAACAGGGCCCCTACTATATCATTCAACAACCAGGAATGCAAAGAGTGAAGAATGAACCTGTTTCTGTTCAGAAGAGACCGCAGTCTCCTCTGTGGAGCTACAACCGTCCACAGTCTCCTGCCCGGACCCCGGGAGACTCTTCTCAAACTGACAGGCATGGAGGACAATCTGCTGGATCTCCAACATCAAGCGGATCTCCGCAAGGACCATCGGTAATCTATCTGCATTCCAAATGCATGCCATGCTTTATATTGGCAAAAAACACAATGATAGGTCGCGCTATACAAAAAGTGAAAGGATAAATATAAATATAAATAAATACATAAATAATAGAAAAATTATATAAATATATATATATACGTTTACTCACATATAAAAAAGGCAAACAGAGAATAAAAGATAAAAATGTACATAAGAGTCCCGATATATGGTAAAATATTTGTAAGTTCCAATGTATGGTAAAATTCTTGTAAGTTCCAATAGAATAATGCAGGCTTGATGATGAAATCAATGGGAAGTTTAGATCTTCTATAGCTGGGGGAATCTTGACTCAATGTCGAACATATAAGTAGAAGAAAAAGAGAACTCCAATAGTGTAATTCTGTGATGGAATTGATAAAATAAGAAGTAAGGGAGGTATTTCACTCACCTATCCAAGAGCGTGTACTCGCTCTAGTGTAGTTGGCATTCAGTGGCGTTGACCCCCCACTGTCGGGATATAGGTGTGAATGATTCCTCGATATGAAAAGAGAGGTAGAAACCAAATATAGTGCTCACTGTATAATAACAAGTAAGTCAGAGAAGTAAAAGGCGTACTTACATTTATCTGAGCAGGGTATACTGCTCAGTTTAATGGCGTAGGTGGTACAATCCCCACTTAGGATTCTTTGAACGATGGTCTGCTCCAAAGTAACGTGTAACCAGGTTAAAAAATAAATAGATAAAAATGAAATAAAAGGTATATGGCAAGTAAATAGTAAAAAGGCCAATATTCCTTTATTAATACAGTAAAAATATATAGCAATAGCCAAAACGCGTTTCGCCACACAGGGCTTTATCAATTGGCAATAATGGGTGTTAACCTGGTACATAGAAGTTTATATAAACTTAGGGGATACATGGTTATTTGAATTTTGGCGCCAAAATGACGTCATCATTACAATGAGAATATAATAAAAAACATAAATATAATAAGAACATGGATATATGATTAAAAGTACAACTCAAAACTTTATAAATTTTTCAAAAACGAGTGTTTATGGTAGTACTGGAAGATAGAATAGATTGTCATGTGATCGCGAGCTGCCGCGATGCTTTATATTGTATGTATACAGAACGACACGTTGAAGTGGTCACTGTTCAATGTGTAGGAGATTTTGGCTATTTTACCTGCACCTTGTGGAAAGTTGACCAAGAATCCAATAACATATAAAAATGGTATTAGGGCATTCTAACATCAATCCGGGGATGAACCAGTACAGGTTAACCAAGAACCCAAACATTTTCTAAACCAGAAAAAGTATGGTGCAATCTTTAATACAATTTATCCATTTGCAGAATCTCAGCCAATTCCTTGTATTTGTCAGATAAAAAATGTAGTTATTCCTATCATCTATCAAATTTGGGAGGTAACATGATGTGCGTCCACAGCTAGGGTTAATCACTAGACAATGAACTGCTGGGAATTCATCAAAAACCTGCAAATTTTAGGACAGAACTACCAGTCATAAATATGTGAATTGAAATCATTTGTAGCTGCATTTGGCTGTCTGTGCTCCTGTCCGTCAGTCTCTACTTTCTGCCTGTAAGATCTTTAATTTGTTTACATAAACGCATATCCTGAATCAGTCCACTGGATACGCTTCCTAATATTTTGGGAATTGGCATATTAAGGCCACGCGTGTGCCTTAGTATGTCATATGCAGCTGGAACACATGTGCGGGACCATACGCATGCATACTAATTTTTGGCATGACATCATTTATATCACGGATGTGGGAAAACACTGGATTGAGACCACTGAATGGATGTGCATGCTGGCCTGTAACTTTCAGTCCCTCACTTTCTAAACTCACAAAGTCATTTTTATTCTGGCAATGAAAAGATAATCGAAATGTGTGAATCTCATTATAGATAAACGTGTAGGTTATGGGATCGAACACGGCTGTTTGCACATATGTAAAACACGTTCAAACGAGACTACATGACACGTGTGGGTTAATGAATGAATCTTGTTGGGTTGGGCTGGCTGTAAAGGACAATAAACACACAAACATTCTTTACATCATAAGTGGTAACATTGCTGTAGATGGAGATTGACATAATTACTTAAACTCTTTATTACATTAAAACAGGTTATTCCAAAGAACAATGAACAGGTCCTTCCTGAAGGTGCATGAGTTTATTACTACGTGCCACACATGTAACTCTTATTGTAGTTTTATAATATCCACTAATAATTCTTATATGGGCTGGGAGTTGGGTCCACTAAGTTTGACAGTCTTGTTCTTTTCTTTGCAGCCCCCTCCTTCAGTTACAGACTCACAGAATAGTCTCGGTCAGTCCCCTGGCAGACAAAGTGTCCTTTCCCAGTCCCCTGGCAGACAGAGCATGGGAAGCCACCAGCTGCCTCGTGGTTATATCTCAATACCTGTGTTTCACGAGAGCAATGTGCCACGACCACCTACCCAAGGCTATCAATACATGCCAAAGCCACATTATCCACAGCCAAGTGGAGATTACCATTCACATCAGCCGGTATATGGAAAAGTCCAGGATGAGAGAGACTCCAGGTTACCATCACCCCATCCTCCAGCCAAAGTCGCATCCAGTCGGGAAAGCTCCCCGGTGAGGGTTGTGAGCCAGTCACCAGCTCCTGTAAGGATGAAGACTGTGGTAGATAAACCTCAGGTAATAGACCGCATTGATTGGCTAGCAGTATGTGTCCTTCCATAATACCCTACTCCCTCATTCACCAGTCCTTGTTTGTGTATTAAGCTCTAAAAATGAAGCATTTTATTGGTTTCCATTGTAACTGCTCAGCATTTAGAATTTTTTTTCCCCTTAGAATTGCTCTTTATGCAGAACCCCACAGTTACACTTGCAATATTGTAACACACATATTCCACATTCCCATTGCTTTTTCTGACACATGTCATTAATTTGTAGGTCCAGCAAATCCACATACAACGAGAATCCCCACCAAGATATCAACAAGAGAATAAGCCAAGCTCTCCCATCCCCAGTGAGCCTCCCAGCTACACTCCTATTCAGATGACCTTTAAAGACAGTGACATGAAACATCTTCCACAAAAAGCAACACCTGAGAATGTTGACGAGCATAGTCCAAGTCCCATTCCGATTGTTCCTGTGGAGGAGACACCTGGGCAAAAGGAGCCAACCCCCCCGAAAGAACCGGAAGTTTTAGAGCCCCAAGAGAAACACCCAGGAGTTCTACAAGTAGAACAAATATTGCAGAGGGTGGAGACACTGCAGAAAGCGGTTTTAGACTTTCAAGGCAGAAGAAATGAAAAACCGTATCTAATACTAGAAGAAGACCTCACTAAAGTGCTCCTGGCGTTGGATTCAGTAGATCCAGATGGCCGTGCTGATGTCCGTCAGGCAAGAAAGGATGGTGTCAGGAAAGTTCAGAACATTTTGGAGACACTGGAACAGAAAGCATCTGGTGACACAGAATGTTCCCAAGCCATGGACTCAGCAGGAACTTCCCATGATTCCATGGAGGTTGACAGAACATTGGACAGAAGCAATGCAATCCCTAGCTCACTCTGTGTCTCAGATCAGCACACCTCAGAAAGTTATCAGAAGGAAGGCTCAGATTCAGGTCCTTCATGTTTATCTACTCATTCTGAAAGTCACTAGCTGTCACCTGGGAGAAAAATAATAATCTCTGAACTTTTAAAATGTGGGTTGGGTTTGAGGTTTACAGAAATCTGCATGCATTTTGGTTAAACAACTACTGGTTTTCACCCCACCAAACAGCACGGACACAAGGAACCTCTAGACGTCTTCTCTGAATGGAAAAGATAATGCTTAATAAGCCGCCTCTCTTCATTGATCTTATGAATTGTTATACTGTATGGTTCCCATCAATTCTCTATACGTTAAATTTCAAACTAAGGAATTTGTAACTGCTAGATCACATCCCAAACCACCCAAAGTCCATAATCCTTTCACAAAATATATTATTGTAACTACATTGGTCACTACTTCACAATATATGCTGCTGTTAGGACACTTTCTTAAGTGATAAATTGAGACTTTTGCAGAGAAATTTAATATATGGTTTTTCCATTTTAGAATTTTGTCAAATATTGCTCTTCAAACATGATGTTCCCTGACATCCTGTGTTTCCCTCCAGCGAAAGTTCCCAGTAACCAGAATACACTGTATATTTTTTTGCTAACGCATTTCACAAGGCTTAAACATTATCCTTTCTGCACTGTAAACCACACCACATTTTAAGGCACAAGTACATGTTTAATTTATTGTTGAACCCTTTAAAGCAGCTGCCAGGGAAATGCTTAGGGTAGATATAGACAACATTCAACCGTCCAACAGCCAGATTTATAGGAGTCATAGCACACAATAGCTAAGAGGCCAAAGGCGGTTTGATTCGTGGTCCCAGTAATTCGGTTTTACTGGGAATGTGCCACATTTTCCCTGGAAGCTCCTGGTTTGGCACAAGATTGCCGACCCTGTGTAGCAGTGCTGGTGTCTCAGGGCAGCCCACTCCAGTTTGTCCTGCTCTAGATAGTCTATATAAATACCATTTGGAGTCCCCCCTTCCCCACAGAACCCCTATGCACACTACCTTACACGGTTATAAAATCATTTAGGTTGCAAAACACCACCCAGTCCATCAGATTCAACAAATCTCACACCTTCGTGCCGGAAGTATGTTTTATAAATCCTCCACAGTTTAAAGACACAGGGCATGTGCTTGTATTGGAGCTAGGGCTGTGTGGACATTGAGTACACATTTAGTCACAGTTTGATGAATCATTAACATTTTGGCTCCTTTTACGGCTTGCGATGCGCAGTAAATGACGTGAAAGGTAATACTTGGACTTAGCTGGTGAGCCATCAGTGGGCCACGAGTGAAACAATGAAAATGATCTGGTTCATGAGGAAGACACTATCACTGGCTGAATGTATCCAGTCCCCCCATCACCGCTGCTTTTATTGTACGTCCGTCTCTCAGCGTTGGCAGACTAATAAAGCTATTTCTGAGGTTCCGTGTATTCTGCTTACACCAACGGGCACCTTAATTAATCCTGAAACGTGTGATGAAATATATATATATTTATATGTGTGAATGAAATATTAACAGATTATTTTAAAATAAAATTGATCTAGAATCAGAAGATCTACCTGATTCTTTGTCACTCCCATGCTGTTGTTTTTTGTTTTTTAATTTATTTATTAAATGAGCTTCTGAGTAAAGATGTTTGCAGCTAGTTAGATGTAAGAACAAAGGCCAGACTGTTGTGAAACCCGGGGAGGAGTGAAAAAGTAGAGGAACCGGTTTGTTCTATGGAGATAATCATATAATCAAGGTGCTTGCAAACCTGATTTGATTGGAAAACTGTACAATTTGTTTTTTGTATAGTCAGTAAGCACAATGCTGACAGCCATGTAGAAATGTTACACCTAGATATCATTAGGGGTGTGAGAGTTAAGGCACGTCTTAAAATGTATTTTTTTTATTGAACCACTGTGCCCTGAGCTCCCTTTCCTTCTGTATCACTCTGCCCCCATTCACTCTCCCCATGTACCACTTTGCCCCCTGTACAACTGTCCCCAATACCCTCTTCTCCATGTACCCCTCTGCCCCATAACTTCTCCCCATGTACCACTGTATCCCCCATACCCTCTACCCCATGTACCCCTCTGCCCCATAACTTCTCCCCATGTACCACTGTATCCCCCATACCCTCACCCCATG